GCCTCAATAAGATATCATATCCATTAAGGCATAGAGGATAGAGCTGCTAGTACACCGACAATGGTTGAGTATGCTGACAGGCTTCTTGACATGGATTTGCTGAACCCAAAGCTCGCTTGGACAGTTCAGAAAATCTGAGAACTGTGAAGTTTCAAAATGTTCTCAAAAGAGTCACTCATGTGCATAGGGTAGTATAACATTTACGTGCAAATTTTCATGATAAAATGTGCTAATTTGTGTTTTCACAAAATGTATATGCATGATTTTTGTCGAGAATTTTGACTTTCGTGAGTAAGATTGGTAATTTTTTTGTGTCATCCGTAAGGGTGATCCTATATGTATCTGCATGCAGTCTATATACCATTTAAAGAACTGTATAGTTTGATCTCCTGACTTCGGTCTAATCTCTAAAAACCAGTCAACCACTCCCAGAGGATGTTCCAATGATCAGCAGAGTTGTAGGACTTGTCCTGAGCTAGGATTTTCTGCCGATCATGAGATGATGGCTTCTGCGTGTCTTGGTTTTAAATCTTAGTTAACCTTGTGAATTGAAGTACTGAACTAGTAGTACATGTCTACAGGTCAGGTGTTGTTGTTTCTGGAGCAAATGAGTACTTTTTGAGCTAAGTAATGTTACTGGAGTATGCTTGCGGTTGTTTTTAGTTGTCATTTTTTTCCTATTTAAGATATTAATGATACTTGTTGCCAAGATTATGAATGCAAATTCATGTTCTTGTAGTAATATAATTATATTAAACGCTTCTCGTATCAGTAGAGCTAAAACCATCTTTAATACTTAGTTTTATTTGAGATGGAAATTGTTCGCTGGCATCTTTTCTGGAGAACTGTACATTTTTCTCTCCCTTTGGTCCAATCTCAGAATTCTCCTCCGGGAGGAAGAGGTTCAAATGAGCAGCATACGATGAGGGCTTGTCCAGACTTGCTGTTTTTTTTTATCCCATGAGATGACTGCTGATGCATGCTGGCTCACTGATAAATCTTACAATTAACCTTGTGAACTGAAATAGTACTACATGTCAAGTGCTAGGAGGCAACATGGGTCGCCGGCTCTAGCTGGTAGGTGTTTTGTGGTGCTTGGTTTCTGATGCTGTTCTTGGCCTTCATCGGTAAGTTTTGATCCATTTTCCTGTGTTGTTCGTGTGCGTCAGAGGGTGATCTTGCAATGAACTCAAATTTCTTGCAGCCTCAGCTATGTACATACATGTCATTTTAATTTGCTTCCATATGCATCTGCTAACATGTTTGTTTTGCCAGGTTTGATCAGGGGGTTCAAATAATCGGCATATGATGAGGTCATGTTGAGAGGTAGGATTTTCTGCTGCCCGAGAGATGATGAGGACTTATCGTGAAGTGTAGGATAAAACTTACTTAAGCTTCTAAAGTGAACGACTACTAAACAGAAGGAACTTGGGATCAAAAGTAACAGATATAAATATATTCCCCATGCACCACTGATGTCCGCTGGCCCTCCCTCAGCTCGATCACCTCAATTTGCCTCACCCAGGGAAGGTGGATTCAGATGACAGGGACACAGCCACAGAACAGAGGATAAAGCAGAGTACTAGTTCAGTTTGCGAGAAAGAGAGAGACAGTCAGTTTTCAGGCAACAAATGCCTTTTTTTTTCCTTTTTACTTCTTCTTCTTTTCAGCTGTAAAGAGTACAGCAACTAAACAGAGCAACGAATGCCCCAACTCTTATTTATACAAGGTTCTCAGCATTGCTCTGAACCGACTTTTGCTGCAGCTTAGACTAGCCAGCTTGTACACGCACACCTACAGTCAAACTTGCAGCAAGTTGCAAGCTGCTGCCCGCAATTACAATTGTTCGACTGCAATCAGGTTTAAGCTAACAACCACTGTATTCAGATTTGTAGGAACAGAGATGAAACTATGGAATTTACTGTCTTAGTTATCCGGATACTGAAGTTACCAAGCTCATCGAGAAATAAAACCTTTGTTCATATATCAGCACGATGGGAACAAAAGTATCCATTCAATTGCCCAGGTTGAGGAGACGTGGTGAAAGGCTAGCGGTTCGTCGTCGATGGACAGTCATCCATGATCCCGGCAACAGCCAGAGAAGAGAAGAAATTTAACAACACTGGGGTGGAAACATGAAATGAGCAGGTTTGTTAGGAAGCTTCAATCTTTCAACTAGCCACCGTAGCGGCCACTGTTTAATTCTGAAAAGAGGACTTGCGTTTCAGAAAGGTGCTGAATTCAGATTTAAGAAACACGTTCCCAATTTTCTTTCGCAAACTGACAAATAGAACATAGGTTCATCACGAGCACAAAAACAGCAAACATAATTAGTTTGAATTAATCTTGGCTGCAGCTTGAGCACCAGTTGATAAACAATTGTGGGTGATTCACTGGCCAACTATTTCATCTTGTTCGTACACACCATAGTCACTTCCAGTCTTTTTGCATGTTTACGAACCTGGATAGGGAAAATAATAATAATAATAATAATAATAATAATAATAATAATAATAATAATAATAATAATAATAATAATAATAATATGTTTGTCAGCTCAATATAATTATTTTTTGAGAATACCTAAATATAAATAGGTGAACAAATAGACAAAGAAAATGAAATTATGAATATCAGCCGATGAAAAAGTCAATATCAATTCACGCTGAAACTTTACTGGATAAGGGTGACAATTTTCATTCAACATAAACCATGGATCTTGCAAATGAAAAAAAAAGTCAACCATGAAGCTATGTGCTTTTATGTATGAACAATGGAAAGGCACACACTCAAAAAGGAACACTTGTACGCTATCCATGGGAAAAGGAATCGCACATTTCCATAGACAAGATTTGAATTTCTCAAATTATATTGCTTCCGGATTTGCATCTAATTTCACACGGAATGCATGAACGCTATAATGCTTTAAAAAAAAATTTTGAGTGAACATTATGTTTTAGTAATGGCATGGCAGTTTTTTTTTCTTTGAGCAGAGTTGACCCAACAGCTCGGGGTTGGAGGAATTGGAATTGGTTGAGGAGCCCAGCCCAGTGTCACTGCCACTCCGGCTCATTTGGACCGACCTGGTTGAACCCAGCCGTCCCACTTCCACAGCGCACGGCGCACGGGACGTGAGCAGGCTTTTCCTCACCTGAAACCCTCGCCGCCTCCATGCCGCCGCCGGCCCCCGTACCAACGCTGCCGGACGAGCTCATCGAGGAGGTCTTCCTCCGCTTCCCGCCGGACGAGCCCGCGTGCCTCCCTCTCCAGCAAGCTCTGGCTGGGCCTCCTCTTCGACCCTGCCTTCCGCCGTCGCTACCGTGACTTCCATGGAGCTCCCCCCATGCTGGGCTTGGTTTATTCATGCCGTGAGAGAGAAGAGCCCGTCCCGCGCTTCGTATCCACCACGAAATTCGGCGCCTGCATTCCGGACGACGACGTGTGGGACCATGAGTACACTCCGTGGGTGGGACTGCCGCCATGGCCGGGTCTGTTTCCCCAGGGTGTTCGTCGTTTGGGACCCCATGACCGGCTGCCTCAGGCAGCTAGCCGCCCCCAAAGCTTATGCCAGCCAATGGGTCACGGTGCTATGTGCCGTGAGGGGATGTGACCACCACACGTGTCACGAGGGCCCCTTCCGGGTGGTCTACTGGTCTTCATCGCCCTGCACAATACCGGTAGTGCTTGTGTCGCTTACGAGTGCTTGTCCTCGGCTGAGTGGAGCATGCCATACTCCCGTCGTCATCGTGTGGAGTGGATCCAGACATGCGATGGTCTTCATCATCTCCCGGATGATGCGCGCATTGAGCCAAGGCCCCCTGCCCTCGTCGAAGATGCACTTCACTTCGTGCTTGCATTTCTTGATGATGACCGCGTGGCAATTCTCAAGTACGACTTGAGCTCTAAAGACTTATCACTGATTGATGCGCCCTTGTCGGATGCTAACATTGCTACTACTACTATCCTCATGGCAATGGAGGATGGCAGCTTGGGGTTTACATACATGTGATAGAATCACAGGATCGTGTAGGCTAGGATTCCGGCAACAGTGATTGGTATTACCTTTCCTTGTGGCTCGAGGAGCTCCGGTTGCCGGCTATGGCGCCGGTGCCGGTGTGATGGCAGAGAGTGGTGGTGGCGGTATTTCCCATCAGCACTGCACTGACCCTAGATCGGTAGGGGA